CTAGTTAGAGCAATTTCAACTGTCCATACTTGTCTGATATGCACATCTCTGGAGTGACTGTGGTAGGAGAAAAGGAGCCTTGATCACGAGGCCTCCTGAAGGAAGTGATGGGGTATTTGGGCTCTGATTTACTGCCTCTAGGAACTGGCTAACCCAGAAAAGGGAAGGCCCTCCCGGATGGCAAGGCCCTAGGTGTGAAAGCATCAAATTCCCAAAAAGGCTGGTCACTATGTAGCAGTTGCTGCTTCCTGCAGCAGAAAGCTGGAGTTCCCTTGTCTCTGCACTAGCAAGCAGCTGTCGTTGTCTGACTTAACAGCTGTAGTGCACCTGGCGGATAAGACCAGAGCCTCTTGTTTTAGCTGCTGTATTGCATTCTAACTTCTTTTAGTGTCTGTTCCCAGCCATTTCTTCTGGATCTTTGCTCAGGCTATATTCCCTTTGCCTGAGGTACCTCCTCCAGGTACCTCCTCTCTCCTTTATTCCTCTTACTCACACTCACCTTCACACATATGACAACACAGGACCTCACTTACAGGACATGCTTCCTATGCACTTTCCCTTCGTATCACTCAGGCTCATTTACAGCTTTTCCCCTAGACCATAAATAAGTTTGTTGAAGACCCAGATCAGATCTACTTTGGTTTCAGACCCTCCATGCCTAGCACCCTGGCTGAAATGTGCTAACTCCTATCTAAGTGTACGCTGTATAGACGGAATAACAGGTGCAGGTGTGACTGTTCCCGCCCTGTAGAATTCCTCTGTCTCCTTTGTTCTACACTCAGCTCCTGAAGCTTGTCTTCTTGCTGAGGTGTGTGATAACCTCCAGAGCAGAATCAGATGCTTTGAAATTTGCAGTTGTGGAAAGCACTGTGGTGTAGTACATGAAGTCACCAACTGAAAATCTGGCATCTCTTATGGGGCACTGATTGTGTCCTGGTTACTCCACTTCTGATCCAGCTCTTCGCCGGGGGAAAGCAGCAGAAGATGGCTGGAGTGCTCTGATCCCTGCAACTGTATAGGAGGCCTGGAAGAAAGAAAGCCTGACTCGTGGCTTTGAGTTGGCACAGCCATGATTGCTGTGACCATCTGGGGAGGGAAACAGAGGATAAAAGATATCTCTCTCTCCCTCTCTGAAGTTTTAAAAAGAGCAGGAGCTGGTGTTGTGGCATAGCAAGTAAAACCATAGCCTGCAATGCTGCCATACTGTCTAGGTATTGCTTTGTGTCCTCATTGCTCCGCTTTTGATCTAGCTCCTGGCTTCTGACTTTGGGCTGGCCAAGGCATGGTTTTGGAGGCCATCTGGGGAGTGAACCGATGAATGAAAGATCTCTCTCTGGTACTCTCTTGATCTCCTTATCTCCTTTGTATCATCTTTCAGGCAAACAAATCTTAGAAGTCTAGTTGTGCATTCCAACACAGCATCTAAGCATCTAGTGTAATGCCAGGTTCATTCAATGTTTTGTGTTTGTGTGTTATTCTGAAAGTGCAGGATAAGTGAGAAGACAGAGAAGGATCCAATGGCTTCAATTGCTGGTTTCCCATTTCAGGAGTATGTCCCCCAAGGGTCATGAGTAAATCTCCAAGGCAGCAGTTTTGTGAGGTGGGGCCTTAAAGGAGGTGGTTAGGCCCCTCATGAATGGATTAATGCCGTTATCCTGGGGATAGCTTTGTATTCAGAGTAGCTTCCTGATGCAAGATGAGCTTTGGTTGTCCTGGCCCTTCTTGCTCTCTCCCACAGGTAGTCTCTGCTGTGCGATGTCAAGAGGGCCCTCACCAGATGCACCCTGGATTCAGGACTTGTAGCCTGTGGAACTGGGAGGTGAGGGAATGGCTATCACTGGAAAATGGTCCTGGTTTGTGTATTCTGTTTTAGTAACAGCAAAGTGATATGAGGGAAATTGGTGGAGGGGGCCTCCTTAAGTCTGGATGTTCATTCAGAAAAATAATTCTTGGTTGCTTTACTCAATTGCTCTGGTCATCAGCTCTTCAGAGCAGCATAAAGCCTCTACACAGCTGGCCTCTGCCAGCCAGCAGCTCACCATGCAGCCTGAGCTACATGTAATCTCGAAAGGGATGAATGAGCAGGTGTGTGAAGGTAGAGGTGATGCTAGGTTTAGAAGGATGGTGACACACAGAGCTGGTACTGGGGGTGGTGATGCGGCTGGGGCGGGGGGAGTCTCAGGGGCACAGGAGCTGAGACACAGTATTCTAGAGGGAAATGGAGGTGGCACTGCACACAGTACAGAACTATGGCCAGTGTGATGCTGGACATATAGCCTTTCTGTCATTTCTTGTTTCAGTCCCATCATGCCTTTCACACTCATGAACCTCTGGTGGTTTCCATCCGAAAGAGCTGGACATTGGCCAAGTGAGCCCCTCCCTCACCATAAGCCCAGCTCTCCAAGTTTTCCCTGCCATTCTTTGCACCACATGCAGCTCCTTCTTTCACCCTGGGTTGTGTCATCATCTCAGTGAAGTCCTATCTGTCCACCTTATTGAACATTTCAATCTGTCCTTCCACCAAAAGTGTGAAAGATTGCTGCCTTTCCCTATCCCTGTTTCCCAAATCCGTTCTCTTTTCCCTTCTGGCTTCTTGGCTGCCCAGTGAAGACTACATTTCCAAGCTTCCTTTGCAGCTAGATAGGCCATACGACTAGGTTCTCATAACTGTTGTAGGAGAAAACTAATCTGTAAAACTCCTGCTTCTTAGAAGAAGTAATTTTTTTTTCAAAGGCAGAAAGACAGAGAAACATAGAGATTTTTTCAATCCATTGGTTCACTCTCCAAGTGCTCACAATACCTGGTGGTACACCAGACCAGAGCCTGGAGTCAGGAACTTTATCTGGATCTCCCCAGTAGGTGGAAGAGACCCCAGTACTTGAGACATCACCTGCTACTTCCCAGGGTATACATTTTCAGGAAGCTGGAATCCTTCTGAACCTAGGCACTCCATCGTGGGATGCGGGCATCCCAAGCAACATCTTAACTGTTGTGTCCATTGTCTTGGTTCCTTTCTTTCTTCAAGGCAATTATTGGCCTTACACCTCTTTTTTTTTTTTTTTTTAAATTTTTCTTACCACTTTCCCTTGGGGTTGACCCCAGACATACCAGAGACCTAGCTTCAACTGCACAAATGAGAATACTACCTTAGGGAATGGTAAGGACCTAGTGGAGATCTGGGCCCTTGAATGGCTTTGTGAAACTGAGATGTGTACGAGGGTAAGACAGTTTGCGAGAGGCAAACAGGACTGGTGATGAAGGTTCCAGGCAGGTGGACTCAGTCCAATATAAGGACGCTTTTCCAAAAGAACTGTTGGCAGGTGGAACAGGCTTCCTCCAGGAGTATTAGATAGCCTGGAGGACCATGTTGTAGAAGTGTTGGGGGATTGCAGGGTGGACTCTGGGTTGAGACAGCATGATGAACTTGGTTTTTTTCTTGCAGCCCTGACATTTTCTGGCTCAATGGATTAAACTCTAGCTGAAGAACAAATGTCAGTAACACCTGGATGTATCTTTTATAATTGTCAAAGCACGTGTATGGTCAACAAGTACTTTTGGACATTGTGGGCATCATACTGATTAGGAGTTGGGAGTTACTGGAAAAAAAAAACTGTGGAGGACAGGCACAGGGACTTGTAAACATGGAAGGGCCCCCAAAGCATAAGTTTGTGGGAACAAACTTGGTGCTAGTTAAAATACTAAACTTACTCTGTGCAAAGCTGCCATGGAAGAAAAAAAAAGAGAGAGAGAGATGTTGAACTAGATTTATCTACTAAAACCAATCTATCTTGCAAGGATGTGTTAAAATTACTCCCTGTTCAAGTGGACTCAGTAAAAGCTGTAATTTCCCAACTCCCATCAGTATGTGAGATTTTGGGAAAGTCGATAGAAGCGAGGGATGATTTGGTGGCTGTAACAAAAACATGGTTTTCATATCCACAAATTGCTGCAGAATAATGGAGTGCCACTGTTTCCAAAGTGCTGCCTGCCGGCACCACCTTATTAACTCACACCCCTTAATCACTGCGGCTGGAACGTGGGCCCCAGCCTAGTGGCGCCTGTCCCTGGGGATGCACGGTGGGGGAGGGGGAGAGGGGCGAGAGCTGCGGGCTGCAGGCTGCAAGCTGAGATTTTTCCACTGCAGGCTGGCACACAGATGGGACAAGTACCCCGACACCGGCAGGGATGCGAGAGGGGAGGACACCTTCCGTGGCGTAGGCTTCCCCTCCTACTTCTGCGTTGTCTCCCAACTCAGCTCCTTATCAAGCACCCAGGGAGCTTGCCCCAAGCCGGGGCTCCAAGGGTTTCGCCTGCAGCTGGCGAAAAGGAAACACCGAAGGGGGAAGGAGAGGTTCAGCTGCATTCGGTTTGGGTTCCTTAGCTAAGACAGGGGTTCAGATATCGCGGCCTATGGAGGGACTTCAGCAGTAGGCAGACTGTCCCCGAACAAACTGCCCGCGTTGGTAATACGATTCCAAGGTTGGGACCCGCCGGCTGCACCCCTCTCCCCAGGCCCCAGCCGCCGCCGCGGCCGCAGGTGGAACGCTCTCCCGCGCCTTGCGCAGGACCCCCGAGGCGGTGTCCAGGCCCAGGGGGGCCCCGGGGCTCGTGCACAGGCCGGGCAGAGGGCGCTCTGCCGGAAAGCAACGGTGGGGCCTGTGCGTGCGACAGGGGCCGCCAGGAGCCCCGCGCCCCGACAGGTGCAGGCGCGCCGGCTTCCCATTGGTCGCGCCGGCAGAGCCCCATCCCCCTCCCGCCCCCGCCGCCCCCCTCCCGGTTCGCGCAGCCGGCTCGGTCGGCGGAGGCGCGTGTCCGCTCGCCCGCGCGCGCGCCCCTCGTCGCGTGTCCGCCCCCTCCCCGCTCGCCGCGCGCTCGCGAGCCCAGGTAGCGGGCGCGCGGAGCCTCGTCGGGCGCGCGAGCGGCGGCCCGGGCTTCGGTTTCCCCGCCTGGGCACCCGCCCGCCCTGGGGAGCCTGGGGAGGGAGCGCGCGGGCGGGGGCCGCGGGAGCCGAGCGCCGCCGGTGCAGCCGCCGCCGCCGCCGAGGCTTCCGTCTCGCTCGCTCGCTCGCTCGCGCCGCGGCGGCAGCAGAGGTCGCGCACAGATGCGGGTTAGCTTGGCGGGGGGAGGAGGCGGAGGAGGGCCGGGAGCTGCATGCATGAGACCCACAGGTAAGACTCAGCTCCCGAGAGGGGCTCTCGTGGTCGGGGAGGTGCGCGCAGGCCGGCCAGGGGCATCGGTGCCCGCTTCTGCTCCCCAAGGGGGAATTTATTATTTATTTATTTTGGATAGCGCAGAGACTGGGGTTCTGGGAATTGGGGCAGTAGGACCCATCCCAACGCCGGCTGAGGAAAAAAAAAACAAAAACGAGAAGTAGCGCGGGGGAGCCGCTGCCACCTTGTGAGATTCCTAGGAGTGACATGCCTAGGCCCAGGGAAAAGTCTCTTTTCGGCCCCAGACGCCTGAAGGCTCTAGACTTTGCGCCGCGGTGTAGCAGCGCCGAAGCCCAGCCCGCGCCGAGCCCGGGTGCGCTGCCCCTGCCCCGCGCCCCTCCTCCACCGGGCGCTGCTACTCGCGGTGGTCCACGCCTTGGGCAAGGGGGCGGGGGATGGAGCCCGGGAAGCCGAGCGGGTGCGGGGCCCCGGAGCGGAGGGAGGAGGGGAGCATGCCCCCCTCCTCCATCTCCCCTGCGCCAGGCAGCGGGGTATCGTGGTGTTCCGCTCCTGGTCGCAGACTCTGGCGAGCTGGATGCCCTCTGTGGATGAAAGATGTATCATGGAATGAACCCGAGCCATGGAGATGGATTTCTAGAGCAGCAGCACCAGCAGCAGCAGCAGCAACCTCAGTCCCCCCAGAGACTCTTGGCCGTGATCCTGTGGTTTCAGCTGGCGCTGTGCTTTGGTCCCGCACAGCTCACGGGCGGTGAGTGACCCCACTGCGTCCGAAGGCCAGGCTGGGGGCCAGAGCCGGGTGGTGGTGGAGGCAGATATCCGGCAGGGAGGAGAACCAGCTGGCAGGATGGGCTCAGCACCCCTCCCCCATCCCATCCGTCCAGGCTTCAGGGGTCCTGAGAGCTTGAGGGGACCCCCATGTCCCAGCTTAAAACCTCCCCCCCCCCTTTTACAGAATCCCTGGAGTTCCCGGAAAAATCCTCCGTGGAACACGCTGATTACACAGCTACGTTGGGTCTGGAGCTTCCCACCAGCCGGCCCAGCCTGGTTTCTCCGCTGGAAAGCCTGGCTCCTTACACCCACCTTTGCTAAGAGAGTGGAGGGATAAGAGAAATGTGTTTGGGGGACCCCTGAACCTGTCCAGGCCCCAGCACACAGATCCGGTTTCAGCCTGTGGAGAGGTGGTCAGAGTTGCGACCCCCCCAAAACAAAACCAAACAAAACCAAACCCCAAAACCGTCTTTGAGAATGTGAGGGATCTAGAGATGTGGCTGTTCTGGGTTGGTGTGAAAGTTAACTTTCTCCTGCTTTGGGAGCTGGTGTGTGTTCGGGCAAGTCTGTGCCGGTCAGGGGCGGGGAGGGGCTGCAGAGGTTTGCCTGCAGGTGTGTTTCTGGAAGATTGTGTTGCTTCCCTGGGTCTGATTTATAGGGGGGCAACAAAAGTCTGGTGCCCTTTGAGAAGGTGGAAGTCAGAGGAGATGAAACTGATAGCCGTCACGGCCTTCCCTCCCACCCGCCCCCAGGTGGTCCATCACCTGTTGGTTCTGGCCCTGGGGGAGAGGGCTAACATTATGGGTTGCTGTTTGGACTTCAGAGTCTGTCGGTCTGTGCCTCTCACTTTGTCTCTTGTTCCGGTCCATTCCCCATTTTTGTTGGGAGCTTACTGCTGTGAATGTGATAAAAGGATGGATTGAAGTACTGTTCATTTGTAAATAAATTGTCATCAGTAGAAAACCAAGAATCGATGGGCATAAATAAGCCATTTTAGTGTGTTAGAATATTGCTGTCTCAGAGAATTCCAAGGTGAAGCTGGAAGAAAAAAAAAAGTGAGCAATTAGCAAGAGGAGGGAAGGGCTTAATCACAGAGTAATAACTCAGGTGTTGGGCCGAGGCAGCTGAAAAGATGCTTGGGGTGGGAAGATGTGGATGGTGGGCGCCCGGCTGGGACAGTTAGTAAGGAACCTCTGGCCTTGGGCTGGGGGCAGGGGGGCCACCTGGTGTTTGTTTTAACAGGGGGTGACTCTGGATGTTTTATATTCTGTCTTTAAGAGGACAGTCAGAGGGGAGGTCCTCCAGCACCTTGGCTAGAGCCTCCGCCTGCCCCACGCTCTGTGCTTCTCAGGTCACTGGCACTCCGTGGGCAGAGCACCCCTCTCCTCACCTCTTGCATCTCACTTCCAGCTGTTGGGCCTGCACACTCTGTGTGGCTTGATGTCCTCATGGGCCACTTCTTCCATGTTGGTGCCCACTGGTATTTACAGATATCCTCCTTGGGGCCAGCTCAGTGTGGCCCTCTCGGGCTCCCATCCCTTGGCCACCTGTGCACTTTGCACAGCGCATCTTTCTTTCCCATCTTCCCACAGCGGACACACCAGGTGAAGAGATCCAGAACCCTGGAGGAGAGGAGGGTCGGAGAGGGGCTGCCCAGCACCTTTTGGTTTCCTGCGCTCATGCTTTTCAAGTGCTTGTATGCTGCAGAAAGGCCAGCATCAGCCTTGGTTTGCCCTCATGCTCGCTGGTGGAGCGGGTGGTTTCTGGGAGAATATTTCCTATTGCAGAATTCCTCAAGGAATAAGCAGCTTGAGCAGGGAAGAGTGGTGAGGGACATCATAGTTCACTGAACATAGATTTTCTTTCATAGGAAAGAAATAAAGCCATGTGTAGACTCCAGTTGGTAGTAAGCAGATTCCCGATAGGTCTAGCTGGATGCTGCTGTTACCTTAGCGTGTGTTCGAATCACTAGATTGTGTTAAAAGGCAGATTGTGACTTAGCTGGGGGTGGAGCTGAGTCTGTGATTGGGTGATAAGCACCCTGGTACAGTAGGTGCTACTGGTTGGCACGGCTGTAGCTGAGGGCCTGCTTTCAGATAAGTTGTTTCTGCTTGCGGGCCCTCTGCTTTCCTCCGAGTGACCCCATGTAGACGGCCTGGGAAGCTGCAGGAGTCTCACCCGACAGCAGGTCTTCAGGTGGGGTACAGCTCTGAAGATCAGCCCTCGCCAAGCACTTGCTTCCTGTGTCCACAAATAGAGGTGCATATTTAATAGACCCTGTTCTGAAATGTGGATTTTCGTTTTTGATTGCTTTCAGTGGAAAAGGGTGCACAATAGCAAGATATAATAGCCTCAGCTAGCAGGGAAAAAAAATGCGCCTGATACAAGTATTATAGAAAAAGCCTGAACTAGAATGGGGGAAATTGAGAAAATGATCATACAAAGGAAAGGGCTGAGGGGGAGAGAGGGACTCCATCACAAATGAAGAGCTTTGGCCTGGAAAACTAGAGTCCAGTTCTGTATTGTGTGCCTCTGGAGAGGCGTGGCCTGTCTTGGCCTGAAGGGACTTCTCAGGGGCTTTCTCCAGTTGTTCTCTGTTAAGTAGGATGAAGATCCTTCCTTGAGGGCTACTAACACTCCCCTACTACCCCCTAAATGACTACTGCCAGCTGTGTGGAGCACATTGGGCCTGTTGGCAGCAGAAGTGGTCTGGAGCAGGGCTTTGGCCGCTCATGTCTTCTCCAGGGGCCCATAGGCCTTACCAGGCCTGCTGGGCCTTGAAGGGTGTGCAGAGTGGCTCATCCAGGCTTAAGGGAAGACAGCCAGGAGTTTGCTTTTGAGTTTCTCCTTTTGAGTGCAGTTCCTGAACGACTTGGACTTTAGGCTGGGCTCTGCCACTCCATAATTTGTGGGTCTTGATCTTGGGGAATGTCTCAGATTCATTTGTGTAGGAAGGAAATGATGAATTTTGTCTTGCAGACAGATGGAAATCATGTAGTCTCTCAGTTATTATAGCGGGAGGTCAGAGGGGGCCAAGGTTGTTAACTTAAGGGCCCCTGCTTTACACTCTGAATGCCTTTCCCCACTCTCAGCCAAGCACTATTGCACGTAATCATTTTTGCCTAGAACTCTCCATCACGCTGCACTTTTTGCCCAGGGAACACATTTGAAGACCAGTATAAATACCATCATCAATATCCTATTACCTCCTTAACAAATTCTCCTCTTCCCTGGGCTCCGACTGTACCACATGTAACCCTTCATGCACTAGACTGTAAGCCAGCTGAGGGCAGCTGACTGGATTCCTGTACATGGCCCAGGCATTTAGAACAGCATCTGGCACAGTTATTGAGCAAGAATAAAGATTCCCAAGTTACTGCCACCAGGGGTGAACTACAAAGTTGTCAACATTTCATGGTAGCTGAGTCCATGCCTGATTGGAGGGGGGTCTGGGCAACCAGAGGGAAAGTCAGGAGAGGCTGTGGGGAAAGGATGGGCTAGGGGCTTGGAGCAGCCCAGTTACGATGGGCTAGGGGCCTGGAGCATCCCTGCTGGAGAGGCATCTGCAGAGGTGTGCAGGTGGGTGTACAAACTGTTCTAGGAGTGGGTTAACCTGGGACATAGTATACTTTCAGGGAGGACCCTTCCCGTAAAGGTCCTGGAGTCACATGGCAAGCAGTGGGGACTCAATGAGGCTTTGGAGCAGCAGTATAGTGCCCTGAGAAGGGCCCAGTGCCCTTTTCCTGTACCCAAGTCTCTGACCCTGGGCCAAATCCTGATGTGTCTGCATGCTCATGGTTCAAGTGCAAGTGAATGAAGCTCCTTGAGGTCTTGTTTGGGTCGTGTGGCCGTGGCATTGGGCTGGCTGATTTGCTGATATGCAGATGTGAATCTTCAGTAATTTTATTGAGAAAAGATCTTCCAAGCAGGGGCAGGCTTTTTATGCCATGCTATGTCCGAAATCTGTGATTTCAAACTGCATCAAACTCAGTCTGTAAAGAAAATCCCAGCTCTTCCAACTCGAATCTGTTTCTTCACTGGAAGGCTTTCTTAATCTTAGCAGCATGGGACACCCTTTTGATTTATCCACAGGGTGAAATCTGAAAGCTTTTGGAGGCAGAAGAAGGATTTCACATAACAAGTGGCAGTCTCTCATTGCTGAGAGCTGAAGAGGCAAGTCAGAGAAGCAGTGGCTCTTTAATTCCTGAGAGTAATGAAGAGTGTGGGTGAAGATCTCTCTCCAGTAAATATTGATTAGAAACGGGAAGGAAGGCACCTGACTTGCTCCTGGCATCAGAAGTGGCAGTGGATTTCCGTATCAGAGATAGGGTTCAATTCCCTAATTATAGGCATTTGATGGGTTCTGAACTCTGGGGAAGGGTAGGTTTCTTCTGCAAAGTTCAAAGGCAGAAGGTGGAACATACATTCTCTCCCCTCCCCCATATAGCTTTTCCATTAGACTGAAATCTTTGTGTGTGTGTGTGTGTGTGTGTGTGTGTGTGTGTGTTTTGTAGTGGTGAGAAAAGTGATCTTGCATGTGGCCACTGTTTGTCTTGACCTTGTTTTGAAAGCTAAGGTTTAGTGATTTAGAAATGAAGCAACCACCCACAGCAACCATATGTCTACATAAGTTGTGGGGACCATTGCTTCTGAATGGAGAGGGACAAAGAGGCAAAGGGAGAGAAGCGGCTTTCTAAACAGTTTACAAACCCAGTCGTTTTTGCCAAAACCCACCACAACATCTCAGTCAGATACATGTGCCTTCTCAAGCATCAGACACAGCATTTCATCCGTTGACTGGTCAGTTCCTACAAGAACAAGTTGTTCAATTGTTGCCGATTGCAGATAATGAGGGAAAATGAGGTACAATTTTGAAGTGGCCAATATCCAAGTGATGGATGGAAGTTTCCAAATCATTAGTAAAACTAATTGCAGACATGTAGAATGTTTATTATGTGCCAGCATGGTTCTCCATGCTCT